CCAAGTCCGATAATAACTTTGTGTAGTTGTTCATATGATCTGCAAGTGAGGTACCCCTGAACATCTGAAATCTGATCAATCTTCGCAACAAGTGCAACCGGTTCTCAACACTCTTCGTAAGATATTTGTTGTTGAGAATCTCCCACATTTTCATCGCAGATGTCACACTGATCACATCGTACTTCAACTCTTCTTCTAAACAAGATCTTATTACCACACAAGTATTTCGATTCATCTTGTCCTATATCGCCTCATCATACTTCGGTAGCCTCTCATAGACTGCGATTGTCTCCTCTAAGTTCTGAGCATTCAAAGCATCCTGCACATTGCTCATCCACAACCCAAAGTTGATATTGCCGTCAAACTTCACAACATTAATCTTCATATTCTGAAGTGCAACCTGAACTGTACTTGCCGTAGCCTTGCTGCTTTCACCATTATCTCCTGCCATTGTTTGCTAACTCTAAAATTTAGAGAAAATTCGAACAACTGATAGAATTGAGAAATTACTCAACTTGAACCCTAGATTGGATTCGAACACGAACTCCCAACCACACGAGAAAGGCGAGATCTCCAACTGGCAACTCTGCAATGCTATCTCCACCGAAGCCTAGATCTCCAAGATCCAAGATTCCAACAACGATTTTTCCGCCACCCAAAATAAACCCTAGGGTTGAAACCCTAGAGCTCTGATACCACTTGTTACGCGTCGGCGGAAGCATGCTCGCGAACCAAACACCCGCACGAGTCGGCAAACAAGAGAGAAGAATAACCAACGAGTGCAATTCACAAAAGAACAGAAAAAACCAATCACAAACACATAGATTTACGTGGTTCAGCAAATTTCCTACATCCACGAGGAGAGGATGGAGAGTTTTCACTATATGGAGGAGAAAGACAATGGGTTACAACTCTCAAACACTCAAAATAACCGTCACCAAAAGATCTCAACTCACCTCTCAGAAATCTCCCTCTCAAAGTGCTCAAAACAATCTCTTTTTCTCTCTACAAATCTCTTCTAAAATGTTCTATATATATAGAAACCCTAAAACCAAAACAGACTAGGAATCCAACAATTTTAAAACCAAAACCAAAACAGACTAAGATTCCCAATCATTCTAAAAGCAAAATCAAAACAGACTAGGAATCCTGTTTGGCCCAATAACCTTCTATCCAACACACTGCTAGTGTTGTGCAATTCTATTCTAATTATTTAGTTTTATTATAAAACTTCGTTTGTTTTGGGCAGCCAATATTTTGGACTCTTGGGGGTTAATAACAAGTTAATTACAATCAGTGCTCTAATTTAAACGCTGTTTGCAACTCAAAGTAATTGCAACATTGACTCACACTTAAAATTCGCCAAAAACATCTGTTATAACTGGAGACATATTTGTAGTTGTAGTTGTGAATTTACTAATTAGTTCAGTGAAACAAACATGTACAATTGGCTCAAAATGTATCAAACAGTATGTCGCAGTTGTGCCGTGATATTTTGTGCTTCTGAAGTTTGATAGTGATTTGAATTAAACAACATGATTTGAGTTACAAAGGGTGATTAATTCTTAAGGAAGATAGAATAAGAAAGGTGCTGTAGAAGCATGGAAGATTTGCATCTAATATGTTCTTTTCTGTTAAGAGATAATTTGATCAAAAAAGGATGGAACGGCGACCCATTTTGTCCTTTCTGTCATCGGGAAACAGAAACTCACGATCATTTATTTATTCACTGCCCTTTTGCTCGTGATGTTTGGAATTCCCTTCTACCCCTCTTTCCAGCTAACAGTTGGCCTACAAACATGAAAGATTTGCTGCTGCTTCACAAAGTTCCCAATATTTGCCCAGATATTAAAGTCATATGGAAGATTCTGTTGCCATGTTTTTGTTGGTGGATCTGGTTCTGTAGAAATTCACTTATTTTCAAGGATATTCAGCCCATCTCGCTTCCAACTGCTTCTAATATAGCGAGGTTTTCCATTTTCTGGTCAGGTACATAAGATGATAGGATGGCTAGGAGGCTTCGAAGGGCATCCCTCAATCTCGGATTCCAGGAGCTAGCTAAGAAGAACTCCCCTACTGATGCTGGGGACTATTTTTCCTGCAACTAAGCTCCTTTGTCTCTTGTCCCAGCAGGAAGTAGAACTTTTTTTGTGAAGATGCCCCCTTTTGGTTAGCTGCTAGCTGTGTCTAGCATATTCCAGTCTTTATGCACAATAGTATAGCTGTTTTAATCCCCTCTTGTTTTACTTTCTGAAGTGTTTTTTTTTCTCTAGCTGTAGGAAACAGTAGGTCAAGTGTGGTAGGTGACGACAATGGTCTGCTCCCTACTCACTTCTCCTACTGTGTTCTCTCCACCTAGAGCTGATGTATTCTCCTCTTCTGATCTTTTTTCAATATATTTAAATGAACAGGGCATCCTACCCTGTTTCTCAGGTTCAAAAAAAAAAAAAAAAAAAAAAAAGGGGTTCTGCTTGCATCTAATATGTTCTTTTGTTTTCCTTAAATCTTTAGTAAACGCTCATGTCTGACACTTCCCCAAATATAGTCTCATCTTATAATTTTTGTGGGTAGAACTCACAACTATATAATCCTTTCATGCTAAATGTAGTTTCAAACCTTTATCTTCTCTGTGCATAAAATATTTCAGCCATTATAACATTAACGTTTTTTTTTGGTCAATGAAATTTTTTTATTCATTTACCAAGTGAGAATTTTTTGTACAATATCACCATCAGCCATAACTGAAAAGCTCAGCACTCATAGTGCATACACAAAGTGCATATATACAACAAACTTACAACTCAGCCATAACTGAAAAGCTCAGCACTCATAGTGCATACACAAAGTGCATATATACAACAAACTTACAACTCTCTAATTCTCTCCTCTAAGTGAACATGATATTTTTCATTCATGATCTTTGAGAAAAAGGAGATCTTAATAGCTTTGAACAACATCTCAGGTAGCATAGTTTTCCCCTGAAATTACCTAAGATTTCTCTCTTGCCATATGAAGTACACTGTTATTCCAAAGGCCAGTCTCTTTAAATTTTCCACAAATCCCCTCTTTTTAAGTCAGAGGCTGAACCAGTGTATGATACTATCCCATATGCATGATTTTCAGCTGAACTTCATCCAATCCATCACCATATTCCAGACAGTGGATGAATATTGGCATTCAAAGAATAAATGGTGACAGGTTTCCTGAAAATTGTACACAAAACACATTGATTTGCATTAAGAATACCCATCCGACATAGCCTATCTTGAGTAATCAATCTTGATTGAATAACCCATCCGACATAGCCTATCTTGAGTAATCAATCTTGATTGAATAGCTAACCATAGGATGAAAGAATGTTTGGGATAATGAATATTATTCTTGAGTAATCAATCTTGATTGAATAGCTAACCATAGGATGAAAGAATGTTTGGGATAATGAATATTATTCTAGACTGTATTAGCCCAGTGTACTTGATGTGCAGGTTGGACCAAAAAACTGTACACAGAAGAAACCTGTATTTTTTCACCTACACATGACTTGCCAATGATAGCAATCAGGTTGTTAATGTTGCCAAGTTTAGCAATCATAACATCTCTGGTTTTTAAAAGCTGCTTCCACATCCAGGAGCTATTTGATTTAACCTGCACACTCCAGATATCTGTATTTAGTAGATAATTCCCATGCACCTATTTTATCCACAAAAGGTCCTTTTTGATATGAATCATCCACAAAAGTTTTAGAGCTGCAGCTTGATTCCAAATTCTTGCTGAAAAGACACCCAATCCTCCATACTTTTTCTCTTGACAAATAGGCTGCAGCTTGATTCCAAATTCTTGCTGAAAAGACACCCAATCCTCCATACTTTTTCTCTTGACAAATAGTTGACCATGAAACTAGAGGGATTTTGTGAAAAGACACCCAATCCTCCATACTTTTTCTCTTGACAAATAGTTGACCATGAAACTAGAGGGATTTTGTTTTCCTTAACGTTTTGGTGCCTACAACTTGTTGATTTTATGCCTTGCATAATTAGTAAATTATTGACTTGATGTGCTTTTAAATATTGGGCTATTTATCTATTGGTCCCTCAAATCTTCATTAATTCTATATTATTCCCTCAAATCTTTGAAATTGTTCATAAGTCCCTCAAATCGTAAGGGGTCTTCCAATTTAACACCCCTCAATAACTGAAATACCTGTCATCTAATTTCTTTTTTCCACAAACAGATGCATTTGGGTTTTGCTGGGAAAAACAAAAAGGGTTATTTTAGTATTTAAAATAAGAGGGACTAATATCTAATGGAAGGAATTTTGGCTAGCAAAGGACCAAATTCTAGGACCCCTTTGGATTAAGGGACTTACGAGCAATTTCAAATAACAAGGGACTAATATGGAATTATTGAAGATTTGAGGGACTAATCACTACTAAATAATAAGGCATCCTAGACGGAAAATTCCGTCTAGGATACCCAGAATTCCGCCTAGAATGCGTATTCTAGACGGAATTCCGTCTAGAATACGCGTCTAGTATGTTTCCGTCTAGGATGTAGTATTCTAGACGGAAATTCCGTCTAGAATACATTCTAGACGGATTAATCTAGACGGAATTAAAAACCGTCTAGAATACAACCTAGACGGATTATTCTAGACGGAATTTCCGTCTAGAATAATACATCCTAGACGGAAAAATTTCCGTCTAGAATGATTATCCTAGACGAAAATTTCCGTCTAGGATAGTCATCCTAGACGGAATTTCCGTCTAGGAGGTTTTTTAATTTTTTTTAAAATTTTTTTTCAAAAAAGCAAGTATCCTAGACGGAATTTGAGCATCCTAGACGGAATTTCCGTCTAGGATGCTATGCTACAGTAGTTTTTTTTTTTTTTTTTGCAGAATCTAGTTTGAGTGCGTATACACAATATTAAACAACAAAAAATTATATTCATATCCAACACAATCTAATTATATTCCAATATTAAATCCTATTATATTCAAATAATACATTCACCAAAATAGTAGAGAGATACATAAATTGTTTACAAACTTTTACATAAATAGCCTATATTAAATCATCGTGCAAAATATGACTCATAGCTTGAAAACAAGCTCAAAAGTCTTTACTGAGAAATCTTCATCGAGTCTGGCATGGCAAATTCAGAAATATCACCAGCTCTTGTAAGCAGTTTACCCTAACAAAACAAAGGAACATATACACCAATAGCTGAGAAATATTTGACAGTAATCAAGGCCAAGATAACTAAGTTTTCTACCTCATTTTCAAAATTAAAAAATAAAATTAAAAAAATCTACCTCAGGTTTGAGATCGCGATGAATGATACGGTGAGCATGTAGCACCTCCAGTCCCTCTCCTGAAATAGCAGATCTCATAACAAAGTAAAAAAAATTCACAGGTATTATAAGCAGCCGTAAGTGGTTGTTACTTAGGAACTTGCATGATCTAATAACTGACAAATAAAGTATGGAATATGTTGCACATATGACAATCTTAATATGGATGCAAGCTAAACAAGAAATGCTATCATAAGTACGAGTAAACCGTAGAGTTTTCGCTCGCATTTAATTAATAGTTCTGCCCTTACGAGCATATTTACCCTTTCTCTTGCAACAACTGCCCACGTCCGATGGAAGTAGGCAGCGCCAAGATTGCAGAATTGGAAACGGCAGTGCAAAAAAGTGTGAACCCGAGAGCTGAGATATCAAAAGAGAACATCATATTGATTTTAGTTAGTCGTAGGCTAAATAGGCGAGCAACAATAGATTGAACAACATTTTCGACAAATGATGACCAATCTGAGAACTAAAACCACATCGCGCCTGCGTGCGTGTGTATAGAAACCAGTTTAGATTATCAGAAGAAAATCCACATCCATATCCTCTCAACTGCAAAAGTATCCAATAACCTTTATCAAGCATCAAATTCTCACTATTTATGTATATATTCCTACTCGTGCATAACAAATTTTGCTTCCGCTTAATTTGGTAGGATCTTATCCTTCTGCCTTCTAAATTTGTTGATTTGTTATTGGTATGAATTAGTAAATTTGCACTGCACGCAGGCACGTGCACACACACAAAAAAGCATGCTGCTTCGTGTAACAAAGAAATTACTTCTCTAAATGGAGTATACATTTATAAAAATAGGAATCCTTAAATCGGTTAATATAATTAAAGAGTGAGGAAGGGAAAAAAGACATACTGCTTTCATGTAGTATCTGCAACAATTTGTTCGACTTCTATCTCCACAAAATTGATATAACAGAGATATGGGACTAGTATTCATTAGATTACAGGAGTTTTTTTTCTCGAGGATATATACATCCTAGCATTGGCAGATTACATGTTTACTCCTTAGTAAAACATGGTATAGATTATTCAAAATAAAAACTACATCATAAAATGAAACTGAATGAATAGGAACAGATGCCGCCTACTTGAAGTAAAATTTCAAGAGTAGTGACAACTAGATCACTCCCACTCAAACTACTTCGACGTTACGGAGAAATATATGGGGCCAACCTCTTCAACTTTTTCAAAATTGATTACTCATCACGGGAGCCCACATTTTTTGTAGAAAAGTGTAGTGCAGCGCATTACTCAAAAGTTAAGGACTATGAAGAAAATCTATGTATTTTGCATAAATAAACAAAATTATACAATGAAAGTTGTCGAGGGTGTATGTCACCTACGTGTTTCCAACTTTGGATCCAACAAAACCTCCAACACGATCAACTTCTCTTATGAAGTCATGGATCTCTTTGTTCATGACACAATTTCGGAAGACATAACCTGGAAAAAGAGGCTTTAGTTTTACCGAGATAGACCCGTTCTTTAGCTTCCTCTGCTCTTTAACAGCAGGATAATAGACCTGCCAACAAACAACGATAACAAGTGTTTATTAAACACGATGTAGATGGAGACCCCAAGTGTTACTACATAGAAACACTACATCTAGATACCAACATTCAATTGCATGTCGAAAATGCCTCATCTCTGACGGATGCATGATCTTGTTTATTACTTGAATGATAGTATAGTTAGCATTTTCTCTCTCTCAAAATAATAGTATAACTTTCATTGCCGGCTACTTCCAGATAAATAAATGTTTGGATCATAACAGCAGAGATTCTGAAACTGCTAGTTTGAATGTGAATCTATACTCAACCCATGTGCTTAATTTTCTGTGACTAATGCAATTTTAATAAGATAGAGTACTACCTCATATTTGACCACCAATTTCTCCTTTTTTTTCCTTGGATAATTTCATTTAATAAAAACCCAGATGTCATCTAGCATAATCCTCAGATAGAAAGCTATCATCTTTATTCCCACCTATCAAATTTCAATCAAATTCGCATAAAAGACACCAAAAACAATACCTTGAACTCAAAGTCAGGATAATTTCCAAATTTCAATCAAATTCGCATAAAAGACACCAAAAACAATACCTTGAACTCAAAGTCAGGATAATTTCTAATTAGAGCTTTAGCTATCACCTCCGCCGTCTCATCTATTTCACCTTGGGGCAGCATTTTCCGCAGTTAGAGCATCGAATGAAGTTGACGTGTCCACGTCCGTGCTTGTTCCTGCCTCCATTCCTGCCCTTAAAAGTCTACAAAGAAAAGTTACAGAAAACGATCAGGCCTAAATCGAATCAAATGAATGAGGAGAGAAGCTAGGGTTTCCATCACTCGCCATGGCGGCGAGATTTGCAGAAGCGGTGAGGAGGAGCGGCATCAGAGTTGTTCGAATTGTGATTGGTTAGGGTTTTGTTCGGCTGTAGAAAGGGAGGGAAGAGTTCGCCTTCTTGAGCCTCATCCGGAACCTGCACCTAGCCTTCGTCGAAGACTCGATGGCCCGCAACCAGCTCGAATCCCTCCTCTGCCTCCTCTCGACCGCCTAGAGCCCCGAGCTCGTGTATTGCGACGGAGACGATAATAAATCCCCGCGGCGGGCACGAGAGAGAGAGGCGCAGGCGGGCAGATGTGTTGGTCACGAGGCCACGATTTGGGTGGCGTTGCATAGAGCTCCTCGTTTGAAGGCAATTCATCATCCAGCAGCAGAATCTTAGGGCAAAAACAGGCGTCGGTCGACCGGTAACCGATCGACCGGATTCGTTGCACAGGAGGCTCCGTCGACCGGCCCGGGTCGCCCGACGGTTCTCTGGAGTTTTAGGGGTTCTGCTGGATGGTGATCGGTCGACCGGGCCGGTCGACCGAAATTGATCGCGGTCGACCGGGCCGGTCGACCGACGCTGTTTTGGGCTGGGCTTTCAGGTTTTCGACCCGATTCGTTTTGTGACGAAGCGGATAACAGTTTTTTCAGGTTTTGACCCGGTTCGTTTTGTAAGTTCTATATATACCTAAACCTGTTTGTTTAGGGTAGAGGTTGGACGAATTTGAGCAGCCAAAGTGAGTAATTATCATGGATCCGTTTCAATTTGTTAAGATTTCTTCACTAGTATATTCTCTATCCCGGTATCTTAAAACCTACAGGTTTGGGAAAGTAGTGTTTTATCCTTTCTCGCTGGCGTGTTTTTCTTCCAAGGGTTTATGTCAAACAAAGAATAATCATCCATGATAATGCATAGAAAGCATTAACAAGAAATAAAAAGCCTAGGAGAAACATATAGGCCATGTTTGGATTGGGTATTGTTTTTAGTTAATAAGCTTTTATCATTTAAAATAAAATAGTAATGTGGGTGGTTCAAAACTTTGGGAGCATTAGATAGGACTATTTAGTCCTTTAAATTGAAATAGTTCAGAAACTTCAGACTAAATAAAGGGGGAAGAGGGGGGGGGG